TCATTTTTGAATTCTTCTCTTACAGGTAGGACCCACTTTTACATCTAACGGTCAAAAAATCAATTCTCAAAATCCCTACCAAACACCCTGTAAGAGCCTGTTTGAGAGTGATTTTAAAAATTGATTTTTTGATCATTAGGAGAAATATGGGATCCATTGTGAGAGAAGAAATCAAATATGGTGGCTGCAATAGTGAAATAACGGTAAAAAAAATCAATTTTTTGAGCAAAAAATTCATTACCAAACAAGCTGTAAATCCTTTTCTACTATATGGGATATGTTTTTATTTTGTGAAATTATAAATTTTGAGATGTAGTAGATATTATCTTTTCATTTTAATACAACTATAGTGAATATACGATCTTAGAATAATATTTAATGATATTATATATTATTATAAAAATTCAAATGAATTTTCAATGCTATCAATAATAATAAAATAAATAATATCATTATAATCAATGTTTTAGTTTGGTAATTATATTCCATCACATTAATAAATCACTTTTATTTACTAAATGCTAAAATTTTAATTTTAAAACAAAAGTTTACTAAACAACTAACTGGTTCTTATCGTAGTCCAATCTCCTTATTATACAGCAAAAGCTGATTATCTTAAAACAGGACAATACCAAATCAAGCCTTAAAAATATGCATAAGCTATGTATAATCGTAACCAAAATTTCATGTTTGGTATACCATATTAAATTGTACTGTCCTATCTATATTATCAAACATACGATTAAGATGATTCATTCCTTTGCCTGCGCATCTGTGCTGCCCACGTCATATTATTAGTCGATTCATTGTACATACTTCTTCTGTTTAGCTCTAATAGTTGAGATTGCCATCGACTCTTCCATTCGCACTTCTCTTCCATTTGCTGTAATTACCATAAAACAAGCCTAGTAAGACACCACTTAACTAAAATCAAATGTAATTCGTAAAAACAAAACACTCGTATTTTTTATTAAAAGTGGAACGAATTGAAAACATCAATACTCTCTCAAGATACTATACTTTTCGTCGACCGTGAATTCAAGTCTATGAGAGAGTACGACTCTAAACCAAGCAATGATGAACGTCATATATCAGCATGTGTATATCTTACTATATTTTAACATCGTATTTTCTACTAGAATAATGCTATTTATCCCTATTAGGGTTATAATTTCAATTTATGTGACGTTAATGTAAAATTAAATGATGTGTTAAATGAAATAAGACATTAGCGCCACGTAAAATGAGACTAAATAACATTGTGTTCGCACTTTCTCGACAACTCAATTTTAGTCCAACTCTTACAACTACCAAATTTCCACAGGCGAAAAAGTAATTCTCCTTTCCACCGACCCAAAAGAAGGGAATTCTGTCGGAACTTCAAATGCGAAATTTCACACGCTGTACATCTAGAATTCTTCTGTATTAGTAAGCGCGCTTTCTTTGTATTTTTCCACCAACAGCCATCAGCTTCGACCAAAGTACAACTACCCATAAAAGATTTAAAACTCGTTTGATTAATTTAATTTTCAATTTAAAAAATATTATATTTGTTTATTTTTTTATTGATGGACAAATAAGAGAGAAGGGATAGAAAAGAGAGAGAAAGCTAGAGTGGATTCCTCGTGATTTCGAGGAAAATATGATCACGAAATCAAAAGTAGAAAAATGCTTCTATAAAAAAAAATGTAATCAAACGGAATAAAAGTAGAAACTTGGATAAAAAAAAAATATTTTTCATGAAAAATATTGTCAATTAAACACGGCCTTAATTTCGTAAATTATAAAGAAAAGAATACTAAACGTATCATACCCTAAGTTCCTAAAATAATAATACATTGGAAAATTATAACGTAATGCAATATTAAAATCACTCATTTAAATATGTAAGTGCTTTCAATTTTATCCCAAGCATGTTTGATTGTGCTTTAAAAAATACCGTCGCCGTCCCATAAAAATAATTTTATCGTTATTTCCATACAGATTAAAAATATATATAATTAATATAGTTGAAAATATAAATTTTTTTAATATACGCTTAAATTTTTTTAAATAATAATTTAGAATTTAAATACGTTGAGCTTATATTTGCTGAGGTCATATTAGAAAAAAATTATAATTTCATTAATAAGTAAAGTGATTTATAATTTGGACACACGAAAAAGAAAGGAAACTTATTTTTATGGGAGAGAAGTAGTAAGTAAAAACTTAAAAATCTCATTTTCAAGCACGTCCGGCAATGTATAATAAGCCCTGTTTGGCACCCATTTTTATTAAAATACATTTTTCTCTCTCTTCTCTTTAATCACACATTTTCTATTAAAATAATATTACACGTAAATCAAAAAAATTTTCTTATTTTTCAACCACACATTTTCTATCAATTTACAATTCAAAAATACATTTTCACATAAAAATTCCTACCAAACACCCTCTAAATCTGAACCAATATTATATATATGAAAAAGTGAAGGAACCTCGTCGAATTTGGAATGGCTCCTGGTAGAGAATGCAAGATGAAGTCCCTTAGCCATGTCTAAATCGTACAACGCTCTCCTTCCAGGATCCGACAGCGTTTCGTAGGCTTCCTGTACCCGAATGAATCGCTGAGTATACTCTTCCGTCCGACCCGGCGGGGATACATCCGGGTGGTACTTCCGGGCCATCTGCTTGTATGCTTGTTTGATCTCGATCAAAGTGCCCGTCTCGGGTATGCCCAATAAGTCGTAGAAGCTGGAGGCCTGCTCCGAGGAGAGTGAATGGGTATCGTTAAGTGTGGATTTAACTAGTTTAATGGCTCGACCGTGTCCCACCCGGAAGGATTTGGAGGTAGGAAAAGAGATTGTTTTGGGAAGTGGGTCGGGTCGGGTTGATGGTAGGAAGGTGAGGCGGGGCCGATCGCTTCTGGGTAGTGAAACGCCATAGTTGCAGCACATTATGAGAGTTTTTAGGTCCTTTCTTGGTGCTGTGTGTGTATATATACACAGAGAGAAGGGAGAGGGAGGAATGTGAATGAAAGGTGGGGTCCATTAAGTCGAAGTTGTTTACTTAGATTTGTTGACTTTGATTTTGATATGAATGATCAAATTCGATCGAACTTGGATTTATCGAAGTACGGTTGGGAAGGGATGAGAAGATCCTATCGATGCATGATAACTGATCAACATTGATAATAGACCTTTGAACACCTCGTCAAAATCTGTAGCTGGGCGCCTACCGTATTAGCACTTGTAACAATCTAATGAGTAAGACTTGACTAAAAAATAAATTTATTTTATTTATAATTTTTTTTTTAAATATCATTCATTACAAAATTAAGAACAAATATTTCAAATTTCAAAAATAAGATATTTATTAAAATTTATTTATGATTTAATTAATTATTTTAAATATATTAAGATCACAGATTTATACAATTTGATTACAAGTTAACGATTTAATTAGTAACATATTATTTTATAGGTCATAATTTATTTAACAGTCACAAATTACAAATATTTTAAGTCAAAACTTCTTGTACAATTACAAATAATCAAATTATCGGTAACAAATTAACAATTTTTTAAGTCACACATTATTTTCTTGGTCACGATTTATCTTTTTCATTGATCACGTATTGTTTATTGCTCACAAATTAACCAATTTAATGGTCACGTGACAGCCAACACTTTTAACCACCATCTCATCACTACTTCCAACAGCAGCACCACCACCACCACTGTCGTCGTCAGAACCACCGAACCACCTTCCAACAGCCACAAACACCCCACTCCTGCCACCACAACCATCGTCGCCACTAACATCACCACCACCTCACTAGACATAGCAACCACAATACCAGTAACTGCAAAACTAATACCATACACCACATCAATCGCAAAATCACTACAAAGCACCACACCATCATAACCACCACCACCAACCAACAAAATACACCCAAATAAATAGATCGGAGGAGAAGAAAAATCACCCTAAACATGAAACCCCAAATCTAACAGCCCTGTGAATTGAAGGGAGAGACCCACTACACTAAAGTTGGGTGAAAAGATTTCTTATCAAATAAAATTTTAAAGTACTACGATTTCAAATTATCATTTCGAATTTAACATAAAATGTCAAATGTTCGAACATATAAAAAAATCATAAATTTAAGTTTAACATAGAAAGTCAATTGCTTGAACATGAAAGAGAGAGAAAAATCTATTAAATAATGTGCATAAAATTTAACATAAGAATTTTAGTTACAAATATAAATTGCAATTATTTCTAGAAATTTTTACTTGAGGACCCTATGAACATCACTCGGTCAATCTACCACGTGTCCACATGACCCATTCTAATATAAAAATTTAGTAAGAGTGAGATTTTTTTTTAAAAATACCAATAAGAAAAGCGTGCATATTCTTATTAACATGATACAAATACAAAAATGACATGACATACCGACATTTTTTAGATTTAAAGCAAATTGGTCGTGACATCTAATAGTTCAAGGAATTTCATAAGGATTCTTATATTCCGTAAGATTTACATACTCGACCAAACAGTCAATCCAGTAGGATTTAATATAAAAATCGACCCGAAAGTCTTAACATATTTTATACCAAAATCTATAAAAATATCAAGAAAATAAGTAACGCCAAAAAATTCTGAAAATGGCTTGTGAAATAAAATTCTAATCTTTTTCAAAAGTATGAATGGGTGTGGGCGTGAAATACCAATGTTCTAGGTGGATAAAGAGAAGTTTTAAGTTTATCAAAAATATATATTTTTTGGTATGTTTAGCAAAATCGTCTAAAAGAAATTCAATAGACTAATTAAATTTCAAATCAATCATGATAGAAGTTTCACATCACTCATGGACTGTTGAGTGAGTTACATATGCCAATTAAATGAAATTTTTATATAAAATAATGAATGAGTTGGGTTTCCAAATTCCAAGGAAGACAACTGACGTATTCAATTTATCATTCTATATATTATATATATAATTATTATTATATTAATAAAATATAAAACTTAAAATACTTTTCTTTCATTCAAAATAACTTAATATGATTAGTCCAAAATTATTTTTTCTTGAATCAATTTATGTTGTTTAACACAAACTACAAAATGAGTATAATATCAATATATTTTTTATCAACTTTTAAAATACTTAAATATTTGATTCAAATAACTCACGATAAATTCTATACGTAAACAAAATAAATCATTTATGCAATTAAGTGAGTCGCGTGTATCACTTCAACTTTTGGATCTTAGTGTGATGACAAGGTTAGATATGGACTATTTTATTTTCTAAATGTTCCAACATTAATTTTTAGCTGATATGAGAATATAATTAAGGTTCGGGATGTTACAAAAATCACGGTGCCGAGCATCACGTCCCCAATCGGAACAAGCACTCTTTTTTGAGGATTAAATAGGCGCAATCGACGGCACTGACATCAGAGCTATCCTCCCGCGAGAGCAGTTAATGAATTTTATCGGATGCAAAGGAATGCCTATACTGAATGTGCTAGCAACTTGTGATTTCAACTTGAGTTTCACATTTGTGTTGGCTGAGCTACGAGGAATACTCATGATACTAGAATCTTGGCTCGGGTCATACATAGCTCTGACATTCACTTTTCGCAACCGGCAACGGGAAAATATTATCTAGTAGACTCGGGGTTCGCCTATCGACCTAAGTACATGGCGTCGCATAAGGGTTTCGATATACTATACCATTTTCAATAATTTTACAATAGGGGATAGGTTGCAGGCATAACTTTCAAAGTGCACGTGAGAAGTTTAATTTTAGGGAGTGTTTGAAGACTTTGATGGACTTTTTTTAAGTGATGACTTTTTTGAATTTTATGAATCTTTTAAAAATTTGTATGGAATTAGTGAAAGTCTTTCGTCAACTTTTATGGATTTTCATTTTAAAATTTTATAGACTTTTGAAAACTTTTATTTGAAATAAAATTCACATGGGTCTGGTGTGAGATTCTCACATAATTCCCCTTTTTCTTCCCATATAATAAAAAAAATTTGAAAAAGTAAAAATTTAAGACCTTAATTAAAAATTTATAATCAAAATTAGATATATATATGATTCAATACTATTAGTATAGTATACTTTTAAAAACAAATAAAAATCAATATAATTTAATTTAATTATAAAATTTTATAATTTAATAGAAAAATAGATATTTTTCACAAAAAAATGAATGAAAAAAGGAAAAAAAGTTATAAGAATCCAATTTAATTTTTTCATAGAAAATAAAGATAAATAATAAGAGAGAGAAAAAAAATAAATGGAATATAATAAATAGAAAAAATAAATTTTAATTATACATGTCCATAAAATATTAAAGGAAAGAAAGAGTGAATTATTATTATTATTATTTTTTTTTGTGAAAGTCTCTTAAAATCTCGTGAGTAATGAGAGACAAATTTTAAAATGTTATATAAGTACTTTCTGCTTAAAAATTAGTACTTCAGAAACTTTTATAAAAGTTTCTCGAAGTCATTAAAATTTGAATACCCCAAAATTTATAGAGATTTATAAAAAGTTTTAATTGAATACACCGTAATTTTTAGAAACTTTTAAAAATCCATAAAAGTCTTAATTGAATACATCATGACTTTTAAAGAGTCTCAAATAGTCACAATTGAATACCCCTAAACTTTTCAAATCCCAAAAAGTCATTAAAAGTTTCAATTGAATACACCCCCTTTAGGCACTCTTCGTGCAGAAACATAATCGAACGTGCATTCGGAGTGTGGAAGAATTGTTGAAAAATACTCAATTGTATGTCAAGTTATAATTTTCTAGTGCAAACAACTGTTGTAACAGCTACTATGGGTGTTCATGCAATGGCAGATCCAGCCTTGAATTTGGACACGGGCTACAATATAAATATACATGGATTTATCTTTCAAAAAAAATCTAAGAAAAAAGTAGACATTTTCAACGGTGGCACGGGCTATAACACAGTCGATCTCGTGCCAGGATTCGCCAGTGTGTTCATAACTTCTTTTGATGGGAGGGCGTGGTCGACGAAGCATATACAAGAGCGATGATGAATTCCGACGCAGTAGAGGTGGAGCTAGGCGACGAATAGGATGAAATTGAAGTGGAATTGCATGCAACGAGAATCCCACGAAAATGAGTGAGATCGATTCAGAGATTATTTGGCACAACAAACAATGAAATGTGGTTGTTTATGTTTCAATATTTTTCAGTAGTCGAACGATATCTTTACGTATGAAATAACTGTGGTGCTTGTGAAGAATTTCAAATAACGCGAACGTTGAAAAGAAGGAACAAATATTTTCACCATAATACGTCTCAGTTGTTGCCTTCCATCAATGTATTTGGTTATTGGTGGGACCGATAGGCAGCAACATTATTTACATGTTTGGTGTGGAATGGTCAAAGTGTACTTGGTCTTCACCTAAGCACTACTTTATACAAATATCCCGTTTGTTTCTCATTATTTGATTCAAAAAATGAAAAATATAATTGTTATCAATCACATCAAATCATCATATTTGATTTTTTCTATCTTTTATAAATTTCATAACGATTATATTTTTTTTTTTTCTGAATAGAAATCAAAGGGCGCGAAAATCATTTCTCATTTTTCTTACAATCGCGCCTAAACTGGTGCTAGCTAAAAGAAAATCAGAAGAATCAGATGTGGAAAAGTCAATTCCAAAACTGCATTTTCCTGACATTTTCAATCATTTCACTGTATGCAAGCCCACATAATCTGAATTGAAAATGAATTTTTCTGAAGTTTAATGGGTCTCATTAAGGGGCTAAGAGAAGTTGAATATGCCTCTGTTTGTGACACATTAAAGGGGTGTTTGATAGATATTTTTATGTAAAAATATATTTTAGAAGAGTAAATTGACGTGAAATATGTGGTTGAAAAATAAAGAAAAATTTTTGATTTACGTGTAAT